GGGGGGGGGGGGGGGGGGGGGGGGGGGGGGGGGGGGGGGGGGGGGGGGGGGGGGGAGCAAAGAGAGGGAGGGAATGGAGGGAGAGATAGCGAGAAAAAAACATGGGAGGGTGGTGGTGGTAGGCAAGAGAGAGGGACGGACCGGGTCCGAGATATCCGTCAAAGGGGTGTCATTTTCAGCAAAATCATCGTTAGTTACAGTTTCTGGCAAGCGTACAAGATAGACGTTTAAAATGCGGAAGCCCTCGTACCCCTCAGTGTGGGTCCAAAATACGGGGTGGTTTACCTTTTTAAGGTTTACCTTTTCTTTCGCTTTCTCGGGCCAATGCCGCTATTTACGAACGAATCTGATGGTAATTGTTGTTGGCCTAGGCCACAGATAGGTATTATATTGCCGACCATCAACGTGAAAAGCTGCCAGTCCATGAAAGCCCTGTCTCCAGCCCTGGGTGACTGGGACAGGTCCGGTTGAAGGTGTACCACCATTAGAATACTCTCAGTCAGCGGATACTCTCACTTAGCACCGCTGGCAGAGAGTAGTCTAGGCTAAGCCTTACGAAGTACGACCAACTAATCTTGCCGGATAGAAATTGATCGCATAGATCATTTTGGACGGCCTTAAAACGTTCCCCTTTCCTTTCGTCGAATTTCTGCGAGACAAAAGAAAGAGTTCCCAATCCTCGCTTACACCACGCTGTTGGTGCCAACGTACTTCAAAGAGCAGTACGACGTGCCGTATATGAATCACAACCAGATCACACCGTGCTGCCGACAACCTGGATCAAAACATCTGAGTAAAATAACATCACAACCAACAACCATGGGAGGTATGCACTTGTTTTTTTTGTCTCCCATCGTTGGACTCTGTCGTCTGCCCCTCTGGCCCCTATCCTCCACTTCTACCAGCTAGACGACCCAACCGGGGTCACATAGGAGGGGGGGGGTTGGCCTCCCTCCTGCGGTTTCTGCCTGAGATATTTTTATCGGGAGAAGGGTACAGCAATCCCTTCCCTCGAGCCTTATGAAGTCGATCAAGTTTACTAACAACGAGCTTTGCAGCGCGTCGCTTTCAACGGAGACCAGGATTGAATTAGCGAGAAAAAAGCTCACTCTGTCGGGACTCAACCCCATGACCTGGCCCCAAACAGGCGGCGAGGCTACCCACTAGACCACCGGGGCGACCGGTACTGTACTTGGAAGTACAACAATAAATATTGACCACGCTTTCGGTGAAATCATGGTTGACATGTTGACATGCTGAAATCCATCCGCGAATACAGTTCATAGTCTATTTACCCATCCCCACCCAACCGACCTGATACTATTGTTGACAACGCACATGTATATACTGATGTAGCCTGTCAGAGGACCTATGTAAGGCCAAGGCCAATGACCACAATTGTGGTAATCCATTTGCATATGTGATACGTGCGCGCGGGGTTGATGGTGTTGATTCGCTGGTTAATGTCTGCGCATGCATTCATGTAGTGTTGTTCAATTTTTATGGTACCGTTTTGTGTCCCCGCAACAGAAATCTAAATATCGATATAGACCTTGTATACGTGGTATGTGGGTGCTCCGGACGGGGTGTCTGGTGGCAGTGGTGCGTCGGACCACCAACACGCGAAATCACAAGATAAAACACATGGGGATGCCACGCAACGGTCCCAGCGTATGCTTTGAATGCGTAGATACATTGAAACAGAAGCAACGCCGGCTGTATGTATCAACGCAACAAGACTGGGCGGCAACATGCACACATTATTGACAAGATGTCATGGTGGTTCCTGGCGTACTCCGTAAGTTATGCCTCGTATTCCTCGGCCGCGTGGTGCACCGTCTGGTTTGAAGGTGACGCTAACGTTTGTTCCATCCATGGTACATGATCGTGCGTGCGTGCTGCTGAAGTTAGCTTCCACTCGTTTTTTTCGTACTTGTACAGCAGTATTCTCGATGTCTTTCGCATTCTCTACAAGTCATTTACTCCCAATTAGTACATCTGCTCCAGATGCAAATTATGGTCAATAGTGTAGACAACATGTAGATGCTTCCTGCAAATGACCCTACCTTCAACCGAAAAGAAGCCCCATCCAATGTCACAGACTCCGGCAGTTTGATAGTATTCGAGGAGGCTTCGGCACTCCCCTATCAACCGCTCGCTCCAGAATCGTCACCAGAGGCCACATTCGCTACAGAATGCGTGAATATCCAACTTCGCCGCGGATCAGTTATTTGTCTACATCTAGGAGTACAGTACTGCTGTAGAAACATGAATGAAACCTTGGGCTGTATGTGGACTAGTCTACACTGCTCTTGGAGCGCGCACAAACTTTTGCACAAACTTTTCTACAACCATGCAAGATAGGCGGACGAGCGTTGTTTACCATACAGTCTTTATCTACAGATACATGTAAACCTCACGCTTGCTGTGTTCGCCCATTGCCAACCTACCTCTCTACTTGATCCCTCTAACATCCGCACAGCTATTGTAGTATGCAGGCAGTATTCTGGCCCAACTGCCGCGACGGATCGTGTGTGCATACATGGGGGAATAAAGAAGCAAGCTGTTCCTTGACACGAACGGGTCGCTGCGGTGGCATCATCCGTAGATATCCCATCGACAGGCATTCTCTCTCTCTCGATAGTGTGTTGGGGAGGAACAGACGACCGCCATAACCGATACAGGTGGATACATAGATGCACACAGGCGGTGCTTTCGACGATAGATAGGGCTTTCAGCCTCTACTATCTTTTCACCCACAACCAACACGGCATCCATCTTGAGCAATAATAGGAACCCCGGGCCGTCCAGGCCAACATGCGGCCCCAGCGAGCGAAGGTACATTATCACACGGTGGTGTAGCCCCGATTGGATTCGGCGGAAACAAAACTGGATGATCATCACTGAGAGGACTCACACGCGCATGCACAACAGCAGCGCGAGCGGCGGGCACGCTGCCTCCGCCTGGAAAGAACATTTACCTGCGTGCTGATAAACTTCATGCCTCTTTCGGCCCTCAGCCTCTACAACTAGACACAGGTGTTTTGTGTAATCGGACTTTGCTGTCATGATGGACAAGACTGAGATTCCACGCCGAGATTCGGCGTACGCGACGAGTCCGTGTTTCCTCTTGAAACCCAATCTTGAGGCAAAAGCAGGAGATACTCGCAGCAGTTGAGTTGCAAGGGAGGGCTGTGCCAGGCAGGTGGGGATGCCGCGTACATCCAACCGCCCTACGGCGAGGCATCCCGCAGCTATCCCTGCCGCACCGACCACATCGGACTAGAAAAACGTATCTTTCCATGTGGAATCGATGCATACGAGGACTGGCAAAATAAGTGCCACAAGAGTCGCCGATTTGCGCCAGGACAGACCAGTCCGGCCACCACCCCAACGACTCCCACTCAGTGTCAGTAGTTGCCGCCTTGAGCATTGACACGCGACGCTGCCGAAAGATACCGAGAGGATGCCGGATCGACCAGGATTGCGACCACCGGACGAACCACGCAGGCAGGGCATGAATGCGCTCAATTTTTTTTATAGAGAAAAAGAGAGGAGGAGTTGTGTGTTTCCCGCCCGCGTGAACACTTGTCGACTGCTGCGCATATTCAAAAACTTCTCTCACCAGAATAACCCGGACGATATCCTCCTCGTCGACATCGATCTCCTCGGGCAACGAGCCGTCGCGAAGGATTCGGCTTTCGCCCGCCATGCCACCGCTTCCTACTGGCTGTGGTGCGACCCGCGGGTCAGGCGTGGTGGTTAGGAGAGGAGGTGGATTGGTGGAGGGTTGACACGAGCAGGTAATCACCCTTATTTCGGATTTTTATATTTTGTGAAGTTCCTCCGAGTGTTTTCAGGGTTGCGAATCAGGAAGGCGTGTTCCGTACACGGGGACGATCGGTATGTTTCCGTTGTCGCAGGAGGGGAGACGAGACAAGGCAGGTTTGTTTGCACTGCTGCTCAAGTGACAACGGCAGTAGTACGCTCACGTCTGGTGACGCTACGTCTGGTGGTAGGGCGCCTGTTGTCCGCACAGAGAGAGAGCGGGGAGGACAAAGCAGAGATGTCGGCAGGACGTGCACATGGAGAACCGTCGACCTCAACGAAGGCCGCGGCGGATGTTCTTGTCAAGGGGCTGGGAGACATGCTACGGGCTCAGCTGACAGGTGCGGAAAGGAGGCTCTTTGAGATCTTTGTTCCACACACCCCACGGACCGTTTTAACGTTAGCACTGGCATCGAGGTAGCAGAGAGGGTCTGTCAGGATCAAGGTGATCGGTTGTCTGTCAATCATGCTGTGTTGACCCTCGCGGCGTAATTCCTGATCACGGATAGCGGTTTCTTCTAAGCGGCGTTTGGAACCATCTACAGCACTACTACCGAACAACCAACAAGTGGGCTTGCGATCTTCCCTCGGGCACGACCTGTGTAGCATATGGTGCTTTGCGAAGGAGTGTTGGAGTCAGCGAGGCCATACCGAGGAGGAACTCAGTCTTTGTTCATGGAACGCGCTGCTGTAGAAACTCGACGGACAGCGCGGTGGCGATGCGCAACTTATACCCCCTCATCCCGGGCCAGAGTTTTTTACACTCTGTTAGTGACTCTTCCTATCTACGCCATTTCACTCCGTCTGATTGACCAGGCGTTGTTTCTTAGCCTTGACCCTCGTCAGCGCCCTCTCACCGTCCCGCATTCCGAGAACGCGGCTGCGCCGCATTCTCAACCAGTTCGCGGCCGCTAGGCCGTGCGTTGGCCGTGGGTGAGGGTTCGGGTTAGGGTTGGGTTGGGTTAGGTGGGCCACGGTGTGTCGTAGCCCTGCGCGGTGTGTGTTAGCTTTCACCACTGGTTAGACCTAAAGAGTCACGAACAGACCGTAAATACAAGCTGGGCCAGCCAAAAGCTCACTTTGGTCCTTTCGCGTCTTTTGCTGTCGTTCCCACAAATTTGGGCTTGAAATTTGGCAGATCTTCTTATGAGACCACATACTAAAAGGGGAAACGCAGGTGCCAAAAAAATTCGAATCTGAGTTGATTCAGGTACTACACTAAACGATCAAGTGACGGCGTAGTAGAGGATACTTCCGGTACTGATGTTGTTGTTGTTGTTGTTGTCTTCACATTAAAACCCTTCCCGGTCTCTCTATCCAGTACCTCCTTCTGTCTCAATCTCTCCGTACTAATCCATCACTTGACTCGGCCAATTTCCGTGGTCACAGGCTAACGTACCTAGAAAAGGTATACCAAAATAAAATGGACCCCAAGGGTCAGCAGAGCGATAAAAT